AAACATTAGTGCAGTTATTGTTCATGGAGGGTGTGCCAAGCACTAATTTACATTATCATTTAAAACAAGTCTGTGAGGTTTTATGGTAGTATTCCTTCTTTACAGATGAAAACATGAAAATAGATTAACCTATTTAAAACCACCTGGCTAGTGATTGGTAGAACTTGGTTTTGAACCCACTTAAGTCTCATTGCAAAGTTCTGTTCTTAGACACTTTGCTAACCTTGGTGTACAGTAAAGTCAGCTATGGAGTGGTTTTAAAATGTAAATGTCAGGACCACGTTCTGCACTTCCTGAATAACAGTCTCCAGGTGTGAGACCTGCACCATCTCTGTATTCTTTTAAATGCTACACATGATTTCTGTGTTTACCCTGGTTAAAATAAGAACAGGGAGAAAAGAGAGGAACAAATAATAGTAGGCAACATTTGGGGGGACTTTCTAACATGAGGTACTTTCTGTATTATCACTGTCTCCATTTCATAGATTTTAAAAGATGAAAACATTTAGTAGAGGTGATACCTTATCCAAGGTTACATAGCTGTCAAGTGGTGGAGTAGGGGTAAGATCCCAATTAAACTCCCAGATATCAGTCTTAAACACTGTACCATATTTTTTCTAGAATCATAAATTATTTTGCCTCAAAAATTTCAGGGTGCCTACAACTTTAGTGCAGGCAGAAATAGTCAACCTGGTCATATTTGTCTTAAAACCCCAGTATGCTTGGTTCACTGGCTTCTACAAGGACAGGGAGATATGAGCAAACATTTCAATGTTAGATTTTTATCAGCATTGTAAAAATGTTACTAGGCATATAGAATCATAAAAAAAAAAATCTTTTCCTTTAAAAAATTATCAAATTTTTCTCATAATTTGCCATGTGTGTGTATATGTCTTTGTGTTTAGACAGAGCCGCACCCTGTGGCCCGGGCTAGAGTGCCATGGTTCAAACTCCTGAGCTCAGCAATCCTCCTGCCTCAGCCTTCTGAGTAGCTAGAATTATAAGCATGCATGCCACCATTTCTGGCTAATTTTTCTATTTTTTAATTTTTTGTAGAGGTGGGGTCTCACACTTGCTTAGGCTAGTCTCAAACTCCTGACCACAGGCAATTCTCCTGCCTCAGCCTCCCAAAGCACTAGGATTATAGGCAACCTTGTTTTTTAATGCAGTTCTATTTGAAGTACTATAGCATTCATCAAGAAATACTCTTGGCTGGCTCTGTGCCTGTAGCACAGTGGTTATGGCACCAGCCACATGCACCAAGGCTGGCAGCTTTGAACCCAGCC